CTGCACTGAGCCAGCAGTAACGCCGGCAGCAACCCACCCCTAATGTGTATATACATACACACACATGTATGTATGTATGTAAGTACAGTATGTGTGTGTACGTGTAAAAAAAATGGATGAGAAATTTCCATTAAGTCATTTTCAGAAACTATTGGAGAAATTTTAATTTCTTGGTCTTATCCAGTCAAATTATGAAGCGAAATACTTTTAGACTGGTTACTTCTCACTTCCCAATCAAAATGCATCATTTAATAAGACATGGATTTGCACAAAATGCTCACGAACTAACATGCCTTGAAAAGCAAATTTAGAAACATTATTATAGCTAAAATAAATATTGGTATCTCTCTGAAGCCAGGGAGATTGTGATTAGTGGGATTTGCATGCTGTTGTTCATTTTGCAATTTCAAAAGTTCTATTCTTTTTTGAGTTCGGAAATTGTTACATGGTCCCCCAGTAGGGAGCACTCTAAAATGAGGAATGCTATTCAACAGCCAAGTAGAAAAGAGTTATCTATAAAAGAAGATACTCTGTCGCCTTAATTAACATTTCTTCAATATATAGTTCCCTTGTTAGATTGATTAGAAATGAAAGGCTTATAAATATTTGTTTTATTTTCTGAATTAATTGTTATTGGTATGGCGTGGGAGTACTGCAAGCTGTTTTGAAAGAAATTATTTGCAGGATGACATAGTTTAATTAAAAAATATTCATGGAACAATATTTGCCGCAAAAATGAAGATGGTCAGGCGTGGTAGAGTTATTTCACCGACTGTAGACGTGGTTTGGTTTTCAGGAATTAGCGGAATGAAAATGGATTTTCATGAAAATGGTTATAATTTAAAGAGAATGCAGACCTCACTAATTCTTATAAACAAAACTTGAAAGCATTGTGGAATTGGTGCTTTCTACTAGAATTTTGGGATAACTATTTGAAAACGATGGAGGAACATTTAATCTAAATCCCATTTCTTCCTTCTAATTCTGATACCAAGTCCAGTTTCCCAAGTGAATATGGTCCAACCATTCTTGAAGAAGATTTCAGCTTGCATTAAAATTTTATGTTATATATTAGTGTGATTGAAGTAAAAATATCATATTTTTAAAAAGCAGACTAGTCAGAATAGTGTATTGGTTGAGCTGAAGAAAGCTCGAGATCTGATTTATTGATTGAGGTATTGACTCTTTGTGACACATAGACCTTCTCCAGAATGATCTATTCTTTAAACTCTTGCCCCCATTGTTCCTGTAACTGAGTCCATCTACCTTGTTGTTGTCTTTGTTTCTCTTTCCTTGCACATTCCCTAGCATTATGGACTTCTCAAGGAAGTTGGTCTTTACCAAATGTGTCCAGAATATAATAATTTGAGTTTCATTATTTGTGTTCCAGTGAGAATTCTAGATTGATTTGTTTTAACATGCATCTGTTAACTTTCTTGGCTATTTATGGGGTTATTTATGGATCAGTGGCTGAGACGCTGAGCTTGTTGATCGGAAAGGTCAACAGTTTGGTGGTTCGAATCCCTAGNAGCAGCTGCCAAAAAAGCCAACACAGTTCTAGGCTACATAAACAGAGGGATAGAATCAAGATCATGTGAAGTGTTAATACCACTTTATAATGCCTGTGCGCTGCCGAGCACTAGCCGGAGTCGCGGAGCGGGCTGGCCGAGCGGCCTCGCACACAGCTCGCCTCGCTGCCCGATGGAGGCTGCCAGGCTGCTGACGCTGCTGCGTCACTTTAGGCATGATGAATGGGCCGCGTGGAGACTACTGGGAGGGACAGGGGCAGGCGGTCTTTGCAATAACCGGTTCGGCAAACGGCTGAGACTTTAAGACTTTTGGGCTTCAACTTTGTGAATTCTGGGAGTTGAAATCCACAAGTCTTAAAGTCACCCAGTTTAGAGACACCCCCCCCTCCCCGTGCTATAACCATGGCGCCTGTTATTCATAAAGGATAGCCGTGATTCTTAATCATACACATAAATATTGTAGGATCGACAACGCCGGCAAGACCTTCGCATCACCTTGGGGAGAATTAGTTATGTATCTTTCATTGATAGTGTCATCCTTATGCATTAATTATCCTGTTTTGATTCTGCGTTCCTTTAATCCTGCAGCGCTTCTCTTCTTCTTCTTCTTCGGTGTGTGAATTGGATTTTAATAGCAATTAGGCAGGAGTCCTAGCAGATGTTCTGAGTTTTGTTTTAGAAGGTTTTAAAATATGATAAAAACCTCTCCATTTGCCATCTTAACGTTTTGAGCTCCTTTTGAGCTAGTCTACTACGTATTTGAAGATATTGAAAGTAATGAGGTGTTTCAGACCATTCCTAGCAGGGAGTCTCAAAAAAGATTTCATCTTTGTTTGATTAAATGTTAAATCTTTGCCGTCTATAGGAATCATTATCCCTGCCAATCAATCTTACCACGTTAACCTTTCATGAAAGTAATGTTTGAGCAAGAGACGATGAAACTTCTTTTACGTTTAATCTCACAATTTTAATCAGCTATTTATAGGTCTTTTGAAACTCCTAACAGAATAACAGAGTTGGAAGGGACCTGGGAGGCCTTCTAGTCCAACCCTCTGCTCAAGCAGGAAACCCCGTACCTTTTCAGAGAAATGGTTGTCCAATTTCTTTTCAATATTTTCAATATTTCCCAGGAAATATTTCATTTTTCCAGGAGAGGCGCAGGTGCTAACTTCCTACTGTGGGAAGTTCTCATCCAGCCCTCTCCCAGAAAAATGAAATAT